ATCAAGATGTTCTTGCCCTGTATAAATATATTTTAACTATTAAATTTGCATCACATAAAAGAAAAATCATAGAATTATCATGGATAAAATATATAATTATATATGGACTATTATAAAGAGTAAACTAATCAATGAAAGAATGGCCATTAAAATCTCGTTTTGGCGAAAAACCCTAACCCGTTAAAAAAACCCAAACTATTACAACCTAACTAACTATAATCTAAAATTATTACAACCTCACTAATTATAATATTATATATTGAAATTATAATTATTAGTTTACATTTTATAATTATTTTATTAGACAAATAATAACAAATTTAAAATATTTTATAATATTATCTAATTTAATATGTATTATTGACAACTGTAAGAAAAATAGTACATTACATGATTTATAATGTAAAAATTCATAAATAAAATAAAAGATTTGGTTATCAATGTAAAATTTAATAAAATGCGTACAAATTTTGAAAATAACACTTCAATTTTTCAAAAATTTATTTTTTTAGGTTTCTATAATAAATTTAGTAAAAGAGATTGTTAGTAGAAAGATGGATATTTCAAATAGAATAAACTTTTTATTTTTATTTTTTTTATACCTTTCATATTATTTACAAAAATAATTATACAACTATATACAACAAAAATTAACGGTTTATTTTTTTTATTTTTCATTTTTTTATGTCTTTTATATTATTTATAAAAATATTTATATTTATACCAACCACTATATACACAACAAAAATATTTATATTTATATTAACCACTATATATACAACAAAAATGCAACACATGCCCAAAGGATTCGAAAACAACAAAAATATTTATACCAACCATTATATACACAACAAAAATGCAACACATGCCCAAGGGGATTAAAATGCAACACATGCCCAAGGGGGTGCCCAAGGGGATTCGACCTTGGGACCTCAAGTAAAAAATTCAAAGTCATAATCATCAAGCCATCTGATTACATGTAATTATAAACTGCTGATTAATAGACTATATTTACATTTCGTTTTCATTTAATGATGTTTGGGAATTATCCTACATCGAAAGATGGGTATTTAAATTTGGTATATAATTACTTATGCAATATGAATTATAAAATGTGTATAAAAATATTAGGGCAACCTCGCATGTGCGTGTGCGTGTGAGTGTGCGTGAAGCACGCTCGCACGTGCGTGTCATGTGTGAATCGGATGGGAACCGGCGGTTCCCAATTTTGGGTTGGAACCGACACGGGCACGCGTGTATAGGGCAAGGGTTCAAAACTCTTCGACTAAGCACCTTGTAAAGCAAGGAGCAAGCTTGGACATATAAAAAATATTATTTTTTATTGTATTAATATATAATTTTGATATTTTTAATGATGATTTGTGACTTTTTTGTATCACATACTTTATTTTTTTATTTTACCTTTTTTAGAATTTTCTAAATTGATTATGGCTATTAATTAGTTTTTTTTTTTTCAATGTTTATTTTTTATATATATATTTTTTTTCTTTTTTAGATTTTGACTACTGTTTATAGTTTAGTTTGTCTTTAATTCCCTTTTGGGCATATACATAACTCGCACGGGGCAAGTCCTAGCCCGAGCCTAGGCCGAGTTCTTGCACCATGATGAGACTGTTTTCAGACTGCCTCGGTCCAAATATTGTACCGTGACCTAAGGTGAGTCACTTGGGCTAAGTCGGTGTGGACTCGTCTGAGCATTGTACAAGCCCAAAAGCCTTAGAAAATTAATAAGAATTTAAAATATTAAAAAATTAAAGAAAAATAATAAAGGTCAAATAAAACCAAAACAACCTAAAGAGTAAAAAAAATAACACTAGGACATAAAAAAAAATCATTTATGGTCAGGGATATGTTAAAAAAGTTTTCAATAAAGAAATATAACAATATAGTATATGGCAAAAAAAAACTCACGCCAGAAAGATTCAAATTCTATATAAAAATTTATATCAATTTTATATTTTATTTTATTTTATTACTTTTTTTTTCTAATATACCCTGAGTTATACAAGATAATTCGGGGCTTGCGGGACTCGGCCGAGTCCAATAAGAGTCGAGGAGATGGTTGAAAAAGTGGTTTTGATGGGGGTTTGTGAGGAGATAAATTTTGTGGGAGCGTTGAATGGAGGAGAGTCATCTGATGTTACGTTGGTTGTGAAGGCTTGTTATAGGAGAGAATTTACGAGGAAGAGTATGGAGACTGTGGGCGTGTGTTGCTAAGCCCAAGTGGAAGCCCCAGAGCCCGAACGATTATTTACAAAACAAAGACAAAAGCTTTGTGCTTCTTCAATTGGAGCCTGTTTCCAAGAAGCATGTGAGGCATCTTAACAGTTTACATAGAGTGAGATGGTTTTCATCGACTTATCAAGAGAGATAGCGAGAGAGAGATCTGTGCATGCCAATCTTTTCAGACTCGGCTTAGATTTGGCCTTGACTCGAGCCGAGTAACTCGGCCAAGTCTAGTACACGACAAAGAAAGCATAAAAAATAAAAAAAAATGTAAAACAATTGTTAAAAATAACTCATTTTAAATAGGGAGGAGGTGGCCCTTGAAACTCGTCTCAGCCATAGGTCGAGGCCAAGTGCTTCGGCCAAGTCCAGGCGAATGCTTAGTCTTTTGTTTTGGTTTGGGTAATTAAAAGTGGGGAAGATAAGCCCCTACCCGTTTTTTCAATAGATTAGGAATTACTTTCCTAAGGTGTTAATTAATTATTAGGAATGAATACTACAATGAGGTAATTGAGTTACTCTTTGAAGGTGATGTTAATTGAGGTGTCAGCGATAAGAATGGATGCCACGATTACTTTTAGAAGGTGTTAATTGGGATGTTAGCTGTAGGAATGGATGCCACGATGGGGTAAGTGGCTGTGGGGATGCGACCACCACGACCCTTTCTTGACGAATGCTTAGTGTTGGCAAACACATACAACCATTTCCATTCCTAGTACTCTGTCTCGATACTTTTTGAATTTTATCTTGTTTCTTTTTGATTAATTGTTCCAAAAATATACAAAATGTCAAATACCATTTGTGTAAATGTATCAAAACCTATTGACTCCCAAAATTATGTGGCTAGGTCCCTGTTTGACTAGGGTATTTTGCCGCCTCATTACCTAAAGGGATGGGTCTATCTCTCAAACACCAAAAAGATTTTTGAAACCACATTGGACTTGATGAAGGGGCAAAACTGAAATTGCTCTTCTATGAGTTGTAATGTCAACTAGGAGCTTTTTTTTATAAAAAAACCTATTTACCTTTATGTTATAAAGGTTACAATTATTTCTACTCATGAGATGTCAAATTAGATTGTTTGCAATGAGTCACAAAGTTTGAGAGTTTTTTTTTTTTAAAACTATGAACAAAAGGTAAATAATCTATTTCAAACCTTTTCCTATTCTTTAAGCAAAACAAACGTAACAATATGACATGAATTGTTAAATGGTGACACCCATATGTTTGAAATTTGTTACATATGCATTTCCAAGGAAATGATCGTATTAGGGTGTCTTTTTTGCACCCTAAGTTATTATTTGTCGTTTTGCTTAGGCGCTTTTTTTCTCCCTCTTTCTAATGAAGTAAATAATTTAAAAAAAAATATACAAAGAAACCATTTACTTCTAATACGATACTTTCCAAGGATCGTATTAGCGTATCTTTTTATTATAAGCTTTTTTGCACCAAAAGTTATTATTTGTCGCTTAGCTTAGGCTCCTTTTTTCTTTTCTTTTTTTAATGAAGTAAATAATTTTTAAAAAAACATACAAAGAAACCATTTACTTCTAATACGATACTTTCCAAGGATCGTATTAGGGTGTCTTTTTATTATAAGCTTTTTTGCACTATAAGTTTTAATGAAGTAAATAATTTTAAAAAAAACATACAAAGAAACCATTTGCTTTTAATGCAAGAGGTGACAAACACTGTTTTCCATCAAATTTTGAGTTGTGTGGTTGCGAACTTGTCATTGACTAGTCTCAAAGTTTCAAAAAAAAAAGATCTCAAACTTTGTGACACATGCCAAACCGTCCAATTTAACATCTTACGGTTAATAGCAATTGTGACTTCCTTATAACATGACTTCCCTATAACAATGATAAATAATCTCATAAATAGTATACAATCCCATAATTTACTGCGTTTTTATTGTGCAGTACATCTTAAAGACAAGCGTGTACCCTCGAGAGGCCGAGGTCCTCAAAGAATTAAGAAATGCCAATCTTGCCCACCCAAAGTGAGCTCTCTCTCTTTCCTTACACATGCTAGGCACATTTGTATGTCATTAACATGTGTGGAAATTCTTGTTACATTTATTTCTTAGGTTTATTTATGAACTCATTCATGTATGTATATTTTATCTACTTGTTTATCAATTTATTTAATTATATTAAAAATATTAACTTATTTAATCATTTATGTTTATCTTGATTCTTGATAAGCAGGGGCTACATGTCTACTGCTCCTGATGGGGGTCAATTTTTTAGCTTGCTTTTAAAGCTGATCAATGCAAGGAAGACTCTTGAGATCGGAGTGTTCACCGGATATTCTCTACTCACCACAGCTCTCTCCCTGCCTCATGATGCCCATGTGTGTATTTCTCAACCCACTCTCTTAAAAATCAGTATTTTAAATCAGAAATTACATATCCAGATCAGGAACCGCTAGAGACAGACCAAGTTCCTTATCCGAACAAGGAGTCGATTTAGTTTCTTAGGAACCTTCTGGTTTTATTAAGGGACCTAGAAGTTCTGTCAGGGCCGACCTAAACATGCTGGATCGCCCAATTCTCTTATATTCATTTTTTTATTGTTTTTTTTTTCTTTTTTTTCTTCTTTTTTTTTTTCTTTTTCTTTTTCGCATTGACTCCCATGTTGAAGAATCCATCAGGTTCGTTCATCTGGATTGGTGATTCACCAATCTAGACTGGATTTTCAGATTGCTAGAACATTGCTTCAACCTTTTCTATCATTTTTGTTTTTTCAAATTTCTTCAATCCTCATGAACCCAAATATCTCACGACCAACAAAAACAAATAAAATTCAAATAAAAATTATATAAATACAACTATAATATAAAGGAAAATTTTACATTTGGCACTACCCACATATATTTTTTCAGTCGTATGATATAAATGAATGTCTGGAATATCTTCAAACACATGGTCACAAGTCAGCTCTTGATCTTCTCATCTTTGTCGGACTGCTCTGACTATTTTATCTTTTATTGTTATTTTATAGATCATATTGCAGTGAAATTTGGGGCATGCAAACCTTTTCTAAGTGTGCACCTGATAAAAAGAAAAAATGATTATTTTTATGAAAAAATACTGAAATACTTTTAGAACCTACAAGGATATTTTGGTCCATTTAAAATCAAAAGGCACGCCCAAATTTCATATAAAGATGTTTGGGAAAAAAAAATTAAAATAAGATAGGATATTGGTGGTGTGGTGTAATTATAGGTCTCTTGGGTACGCGTCTTTTTTAAATGGAGACAAGTATACAATACACATATTTTTCAAATAAGGCGCATCTCAGAAACTATTATGGGAGATGTAATTTTGGTGCCGGAAATATGGCATAAAAATTTAATAATATCTTAACTACGAAATTTAAAGTTTCAAAATGGTGACAATCAAGCAGTTCTATAAACATTTAAAGATTTAAATATGGGTGCAGTTTGCATATGGATGCATTCGTAGCTGTAGTATATAATTTTAATGTAAATCTTAGGATTATCTCAAAATCTATTTTTATATCTAATTATAAAATTTTAAATTTCAAAAATGGGTAAAATCAAGTAGATTTATAAACATATGAAAATGGACAGTGTAGATAATATGTTGTAAAATGCACTATTTTTGGGACTTAAGATAATTTTATTTTTCATGGTCATACATCTCGATGTCGAGATGATCAATCAAACGGTTTTTCAAAATTAAAAGTACTTTTTTCGTTGGATTTTTGAGGTGCATCCGTAGCTCTACATTATAACGTTGCAACTTTATATAAACTTTTTCCTTTAAATATTGACCGTCTAGATAATGTTTTAGAACATTGACTACTTTTAGAACTTAAAATCCCATTTTCATACTTTTGGATCTCGAGATATAGATAATAAATTGGAAGATTTTCCAGCATTAAGACAACCTTCTCCCATGGATTTTTTAGGTGCAGTTTACTACATTGTAAGGTTGACACCTTATGTTACTTTTTTTCCTTCGAATGGAGAAGCTAGCTGAAACTTTTCCAAAAAATAGATTCACTATCACTCAAGGAAATAACATCTGATTGTGAACCATAAATTCAGATAACAGCAATAGATGTTGACAAAGATGTATACCAAGAGTACGCATTGCCATTCATCCAAAAAGCTGGTGTAGAACACAAGATCAACTTCATCCATTCCCCTGCTCTACCCTTCTTGGACAATTTGTTAGAGGATGTAAGCCCTTCTCTCTCTTTTTCACACACACATTAACTTCCAGTTCTCTCTCTTTCTCTCTAACTGAATTATCTTTCAGCCGAAAGAGGAGGGGTCCTTCGACTTTGCCTTTGTGGACGCAGACAAGGCCAATTACATAAATTACCATGAGAGATTATTGAAGTTGGTGAGGGTTGGAGGGCTTATACTCTATGACAATACATTATGGGGTGGCACCGTTGCTGAGGATGAGGCTTCAGTCACGGAATACATGAGGCCAAACAGGCAGCATCTCATGAAGCTCAACCAATTCTTAGCCGTCGATCCCCGAATCGAAATATCACAAGTTCCGGTGGGGGATGGTGTCACTCTCTGTCGAAGACTCCCATGATTCTTCCAGCCCCAAAACCCTATCTCTCTCTCTTATGTTTTCTCCTCTCTTTTTACTTTAAGGCTGAAAATGCATGGTGTTTCTATGAACCATGACTAATAATTGTTATTGTGGGTTTGATTTGCTTGGTTTTGTTGGACTTAGAAAATTATTGATGAATAGTTAAATTTTCCTAAATTGGTTGTTGAGAATTAGAGTAATTTATTTAAGGACATAAAATAAATACATTAAATACGAAATGGATCAATTTTGGCTAAAAATTACGGGGAATGTTGTTTACTGTGAAGTTTTTTTATTTTTTCCATAATTACCCTCCCCGGACTGGTGTTTGTATTATTTTTTTTTTTTTTTTTTTTAAGAAGTCAATTGTCGGGGCATGTCCAATGTTTTTGGACAGTTGGCAACCTGTCCGAGGCTCCTATCCTTGGACCACCCAAGTTGAAGTATTATAACACATTATTGGCAGTCCAAGGTCCCCATCCCCAAACTGCTCAGATTGTCATGTTACACCACATTATAGGCAATCTGGTCTTCATTCTTGGACTGCCTCTAATGTGGTTGAAAACCAAATAGCACGGGTAGTTTGATGATGGAGACCTTGGACCGCTAATTAGATTGAAACGGTCCGAGGTCTCCATCTCCGAACCGCTCATAATGTGGTGTAACACAATAATCTAGATGTTAAGAGGATTAGGACCTCGAATCGATCGCCAACCGTCCTAAAACGTAGAACATGGCCCAAGCAATATAAAAATAAAATAAAATTTAAATTTTAAAATGAGTCTGGGGATACCATCCCCGGTCCGAGGGGCATTATTGGAGAAATTAAAAACTCTATAGTAAATGACTTTTCTCGTAATTTTGGCCAAAATTGACCTTTGTTTTTCTTTTTCTTTTTTTGTTTTGTGTTCGTATGTAAATTACTCTTACAATTAAGGGCCCATGCAATACCTCTCATCTTCAGAATCAGATACTCTTATGCATGCATGATGTGTAAACTCAAATTCAACATGTTAATGAATAGTTAGGTGCCGTTTTATTTTAAAATTTTGTCAAATGGTGCTCTTTTCCAATTTGTTATTTATTTTTTAGGGGTATTTCATTGTTTCTATTTGGATTAAAATTCACGGGATTATTTACAATGAGATTATTTACCTTTGGTACAAGAAGATTACAATTACTTACAACCACCCGATATAAAATCTAATAGCTTGGATGTGTCACAAAGTTCAATAAAAAAATTTTGAATTTTGAATTTGGTTAATGAAATAAATGCAGCCACCCAATTTTACATCCAATGGTCAAAGATTAATTATAACGACCTCGTACTAAAGATAAATGGTGTCATTATATACTTTCCCATAATTTATTATAGCGTAGTGCAATGGTAGCAGCGGTGATGATAGCGTTGTGGTGGTGGTATGGTGTGTAGGGTGATAGCGATGTAGAGCAAGGTGCGATGAGGTTTAGAGCTCCTCTTCCTCGAGCTCTCAGTCTCAGCGTAGTAGAGATGATCCACATCAAGCTGAGAGGAAAGGTAAGGCTGCCATTGGGGGTGGCTCTTCTGTGCGAGGGGATGGTAAGAATGCTTTGCACCCGGCACCTTAGGGCCGTGGTGTTCTTGGTTCTGCCCTTGTTGGTGCTTGGTCTGCCTCTCTTGCGAGGCCGGGAGCTTCTCAGCAACCACTTCCACCCGCTTGGGGTTCTTAGAGGAATGGAAGTTTTGAGGCTAAGAATGGTTTTCCGCCCCCTGAGGTGTCTCCTGCTTTGGGGGGGGTGAAGGTTATTGACATTAAAGACAAGGCTACATCCACCTGGGAAGATATGCTTGATAAGTCTTTAGTATGTTGTTTTAGTCCACCAGTGGAAGATTTAAGCTTACTCCAAGATTGGGCCTCGAAAACTTGGAGGTGCAATTTCTCTTGTTGGAAGATCCCTTAGAATATGACCTTAATTTTTTTGACCAAGAAGAACACTGACGATGATGATGATGAAAGCCCTTAACACTCTAGGAAGAAGCAATGCAACAAGAACAGCCAAGATTCCAAGAAATTTAAGTAATACTGAAGAGAAGAAGCTATACCATGGACCAGGTGCTACACAATATGTTTACAGTCCATTAATTGGTTCCATGAGGCTTGCTGCAGCAGCTGCGCCTCTCGAGATATTTCATTCTCAAATCAAATTGGATTAGGAAAAAACCTAGAAAAGGTTATAAGTGAGTCTATGTATGCAACTTTCAATTTCTCTCAATATCATAGAGAAATGTGTCATTGACTTCCCAGTCAAATGTGACATGTGTACCCCACAAACCACTTTTAACCAGATCTACTGTTGAAAACACAAAACCCTTGAGAGATTCTCCAGGCATATGTTCTTGAGCAGACGATCGCTAGTGCTCACATTGTTGTATTCAAACTCATAAATTGTGGAAAACTCCTATTGCATTATAACACGGAAAAATATACAAAGAGACCATTTACTTGTGGTTTAAGGAGGTCCCAAACACACTCTTGGTTGTTAGATTTTGGATGGTTGTAAGAGTATCATTGATTAGACTCAAAGTTCAAAACAAACAATTTTGAACTTCATGTCATACCTCAAGCCATCTAATTTAACATCTAATGGCTAAGAGTACTTGTGATCTCTTTGTAACAAAAATAAATGGTCTTTGTTACTAAATTTCAGATTGACTGCAGATCCGGATAAAAATTTTCACTATGTCAATCTCAAGCATAAAGTAGTGGTGTGACTCTATAACATAAGAAACCATAGGTCCTTTGTTCATCTCGTCTCCAACCCATAAACTTTGAAGTTTGATCCTAGTTTATGCTCAGAAACCAGATTTCTTTGATTACACACACATCAGCCCTTAATGGGCTTCAAGAACATATAAATTCTAATTTGTGGGGAGCAGACCATGAAGCTCCATATCAATCTAAGCAACTAATAATGGCATTGAAAGGATTCTGTGTTCTGGAATTTTAGGTTTAAAAAGGTGGTTGTTTGAAAGAGACTCAAAACCAGATGGGTGGATGTAATCAAATATGATTGACCTAGAAACATGACAATATATTCATGACTTGCATTGCTTGATGATTTTACAAGGTGGTGTCAGTTACTGCATAACATTCATAATTTAGTATAGGGGGATTTGACATTCTTGCAATATTATTTTTTAATGAAGAACAATATCGTATCAAAAAAATAAGACTGGTATCCAATCTTAACTGGTGCTTCTTTGACCATATTTCAGAAATATTAAGAATTGCCTGCCCTTGTCTAACTTCGTTATAGGTTCAATAGGTTCTGTTAATCAAAAACTACCAGCTGCATTTGCATTCGAGCAGCTTTATCAGATCGCTCGTGCAATCCTGATTCCATAGGCATCATCTACCACATACGTCTTCAGTATGCATCCCTCCAATGGTTGGATGATTGATGCAGATCTATCCTATTATAGGACTTGTAATGCTTCTTTGCTATCTCTCTCCTCCATCTTGCTCTAGAAAGTTAGCCATTATTCAATAGGAACACTTTCTCATATATCTATTTGTTATTTTTTCCTCCCTAATCTTTCATGAAACTTAACATCTAAATTGATTTTCTGATGGTCAACTTGATGGTAGTAGTGGCAGTGTCCTATGCTCTTATGATTGTTGTTATGTGCAGGATGTACGACCTGCATATTCATCAATGATGAATCCTATATGTTTCGCAATCTAATACAAACAACGTATGCATATGTGAAGAAGCTGGGGCCAGAACGTGGTTAGCATTGGACACATTGAAACTAGAAGTAAACTCATTAGGGTTGAAGAGGACATTTTAGAGAGAGAGAGAGAGCATAGACTCCCTATAGGGCTACATTGTTAATGCATGGACTTAATCTGAGATACCAGTGGTATTTATAATACTGGGATTATTTATAGAATAACACTAGGAAATCCAACATGCTAATAACCCTATACACATCCTAAAAGGACATTAAGATCTTTGTATCTACACAACTACTAAAATAACACAACAATTCCTCAGACCCTAACCCTAACCCTAACCCTAACCCCATCCATAACAAATGCACAATTAGATAAATGTCCTCACAACAAGCCTTTCATCCACACCCAAGCTGGTGATATCTTGCTGCTCCTGCTTTTCATTTCTCTCTGAACTCTCTCTACTACTCTCTCTAGCTGTCTCTACCACTCTCCCTCTCCTACTCGAACATCCAGCACTCCTTTTTCTCCCCTGTTTTTCCCTCTTTTAATGTTTTGATATATAACTTTTGGTTGTATAGTCAGAGCACCCAGTCTGTGGAATGCCTATACCCATTTCTCATGGGTTTTTAAGAATGCTTTATATGTAATATAATGTCATCAATTCTCCAAAAAAAAAAAGAGCAAGCCTTTCATCCACAGACAACATAACTTGGAGGGACTGTGTTGGAATGTTGAGATTGACTTCTCAACATTTAGAAAGGTAGAAAGAATTGCTCTACAGATGGGACAGCAAGGTTCCTTAATCTTCCAACTTAATTAAGAGTAACTTAGTCTTCCAACTTAATTAAGACCTCTATTTGTCTAGTCATTGGATTTTTCCATAGCATTAAACCCTCATGTTGATTAATTATGCAATTTGAGCATCTGCATTTATGAATGTAGGGCATTATATTTGCTTTTAGACTTCAGCATAATTATTAGTTGATAAAAACTATAATCAGAATAAAACCAATAATAATAATAACAGCAATGATATATAAATTAAAGGTTAAATCTTGGGTAATGATATATAGATTAAAGGTTAGTCCCAAGATTTAACTCCCTAACAAGATCACAATCGCAACATCCAAGAGCTGTATGCCACAGAAATGAGGGCTACTTATGTGCAGTTCTAACTATGGCATGTCCACCTCTAAGATATCCACCAATAGATACATACCATGGATGCTCCATCATCCTTTGATCCTTTACAGGAAAGTTAAACTCAATTATGCAATATCATTATCAGAAGTCATGTTGAAAGGTTCAAGGAATATTTAATTGACCAAGTATTTATGTATTATTTATTATATAAATATGATTCACAGGAAACTGTTTATTCATTGATTAAAACCAGTCAAGGTACATTATTCAAGCCTTCTTTTTATTTTTGATTCTTTAGAAGTTCTCTACTTTTCTTAGTCATAGGAGTATTTCTTCCTTTACCTAAACAACTCAAAAGTGGCAAGATACATATCAGATGATTTATGTGCTATGCATAATATAAGCCGACAGACCTAGGAAGAATGACCTCTAAGCCCACAAATTTGATCACTTGCACAAACATGAGGCAAACCACTCGTAGAAGTTGTGAAGTATTGGGCGTTGTCTCTGCTACCATGGATTTATCAGGTGAACAATATAAGCCAACAAAACTAGGAAGAATGACATCTAAACTCACAAATTTGATCACTTGCACAAACGAGGTAAACCATTCTTAGAAGTTATGAAGTATAGGGCATTGCCTCTGCTACCATGGATTTATCAGGTGTGAACATCTATTTATCATAAACATTACCTTTGCCTCTACCTCCACATCTGTCTCTCCTAATACAAAGATTATCGATAAATTCTGCCTCATACAATAGAGTCTAAGGACCCAAGAAAAGGAGGGACCCTCACATCGTAGAATTAGCTACAATTCATCTTCCTTCACAAAACAGTAAGTTATTGTTCTAATTTTGTAACAAGGAACCTGATTATACCAATAGGGGTAAATGTTTATTGATCCACAACAAACCAAGAAATGCCAGTCGATCACATATAGCATTTGCTTTCTTATGATAATATCAAAGAAAAAAGACTCCCATCTCACTGCACTCAATATGGAAACTGATGCACATTTTTTTATGACATACACTTCCTTGCAAGCCACTACAAGTTGCCTCTCTACATACCTGGCAGGCGCAGAACCGAGACACAGACTCTTTGGCAAAGCTGGGAGCACAGACTGCCCCAACCCCTCCACAGCAATAAACAGCCACCCTCCATCTGCCTCTCCATATGCCGCTCAAGGCACTTCAGCCTCCTCACTGATTTGATAGGATCTCTCACCATCCCATCTCATTTTCTCTGTCCTCTCCTTCACTTTCTCTTTACTTACTTGTCTAATATCAACCCCCCCTCCCGTCCCCTCCCCTCCCCTCCCCCCCAAGAGGCACTCTCTCTCTTTGTGCAACAACTGTAATCTCAAACTTCTTTCACTTACCTGTCATCTCTCTTTTTCTTCTCCTTTTTTCCTTTTTTCCTTTTTCATTGTGCCCTTTTTCTTTTTTCCTTTTTACATTTCTCTTTCTTTTAGTCCAAGAAAATGGAGAAATTGAGGAAAATGTCGCACATAGAATTAGAGCTGGGTGGGCGAAGTGGAAATGTGCAACTAGAATTTTATGTAACCGTCGCATACCAATGAAGCTAAAGGGTCGGTTCCATAAGACAGCTGTGAGACCAGCTTTGCTCTATGGGGCAGAATGTTGGGCGGACAAAAAAATATATATCCATAAACTGAGTGTAGCGGAGATGAGGATGTTGAGATGGATGAGTGGCAAGACAATAAGGAATAGAATCTGAACTGAATCCATTTGAAAAAGTTTAGGTGTGGCACCAATAGGCGATAAGATGAAAGAGAGTAAACTTAGATGGGCTGGCTATGTGTGGCGTCGACCCAATACAACACTTGTTAGGTGGTGCAAGTTAGTTCAAATGGAAAGATTGAAAAGGGCAAGGGGTAGGCCCAAAAGGACGTGGTTGGAAGTCGTCCGAATAGATATGGGGACTTATGGCCTCACTAAGAGTATGACCTTAAACAGAGCAGAATGGCGAACCAGATTTCATGTAGCTGACTCCAATTAATTGGGGAAAGGCTATGATGATGATGATAATGTCACCTCTTGCAAAAAAATAAAAGATGAATGCAACACGCAATTCCAACCATCAGTTCAGCCATCACGGTCAATGAAAACCACAAAGCAACAGTTTGCCCACAGTTCTCCCACAAACATGTAGGATTATTGAAGATTTACAATCAGAAATAATTCTCCAGGATTATTGAAGATTTACAATCAGAAATAATTCTCCAGGATTATTGAAGATTCACAATAAAAAATAATTCTCCCTATTTAATGTCATTCCTAAAAGTGAATCACAGAAGATTTACCTAAAAAACAAAGTAATCACAGCAGAAATTTGGATTTTTCTTTTTGAGATTGATTTTTCCAAACAAGATTACCTAGAAGCATCAGGAATAAAGAAATTTCTTAACAATTAAAGTTCTACTGTAACTTTCTAAGTTTTTAACATACCTCCTTCCATTTAGAAACTGTAAAGAACTTACATAAATTAATGTTAGATAAGCAAAAGAAATGATACAAATTTGGTTCATTTTGCAAATGTTTTTTCCGGTGGCCCAACTGAAATTATGCAATTCCACTTTACACAGAAAAAGGAAGAAAAAATTAACAGCGATAAGTTATTTTCTGTAGCAAGTCCAAACTTCTCAAAAAAGAAAAGAAATGATTAAAAAAGACAAAGATTGAAAAATCCAACCAAAAAGACCTTGCAAGTTGAACAATCAAAATCATGGGTTGTTAATGTGTTGTAATGTAGATTATTTTGCAACTGAAGCAACCGAACTTTTTTCCAATCCATTATTGAAGTGCCAAAACTACAAAGAATGGTTGATTTTTGCAATTTTTTCTTAGCGCTGGTTTCTCAAATATTATCTTCTAATCAGTACTCATAGCCAACAATCATTTACCAACTCATCTTCAAATCAGAATCAGAAACATGCACATTATCAGCTATACTATTGAAATTTAATTTCTTCAGGGAGGTAATGAAATGTGACCTTCAAATGATACAAAACCATATAATTTCTTCATGTTACTCGAAAAATTCAACAAAAGAGTAAATATTTTGACAGCTTTATCTGCAAATTGAATACGCAACATAATCGAACAAATCCTTCAGCATTACCAAATAAATAGGCTATACTATCTCAACATGCTTCAAAATCATAATAAGAGCTAGACCACTCATAATGAGAATATCTAACCATCTTGAAGGGACGTCCATCTTGAAGGGAGCTAACTATAGCGGGAAATAATCAGCAATAGAAGTTTTGTACAAAATTCGCAAAAGAATCCTATACATGCATGCAGAGATTCAATTGACCGACAAAAGGCCAAATAAAACTACAGTAACTCTCTATTGCATCAACAGACTTTATGATAAAGTTTGAACTCTTGTTCGATAGTTCTAATGTCTTGACAGTTAGCAGATTATCTGAAGCTATCAATAAGTATAAAAAGATAATCAGTTACCAACCCAAAAATAGAGTATAAGAATATTAAATTTTGCATAGCTGAACATCTAGAATTGCAACTCATACTAATCTCTAGGAACCCCACTTTCTAAAAGCAAACAAACAAGCTAATGCAACAAAAATACATATTCATGATGCATCATCAGAAACAAAACTCACTTCTCAATACACCAAAGAAAATATTGGAGAAAAACTAAAAAATTCAATAGGCAAGAAGAATGACACTTCTTCTATCACCAAACCATGTAAAAGTTATGGTTTTCTCAAAATCATACCTTTAGTAACTTCTACCATGGCCATCCATATTCGTTTCTAAAATCAACTTTCTTAATCGAACGAATTTCTGATACCAAAGAAAACCCATAAATAAAATTTAAAGGAAAAATTAAACACCCAATAGGCAACGGAAATTCCATTCCCTTATAAGCAAACATGTAACCGAGAAAAGCCCAAAATAAAGGCCATCAGTAATCACTGCACAGCATACTGATACATTAATTACTTCTCAAAAAAATACAGATACAAAGAAACAGCATCAGATACAGAAAAAGGCAGGCTTTGGAGATTTACAACAAATCTTATCAAGGCTTCTTAGGAGGCAGGGGATCATACAAAAGCATCAGGAAGAGAGAGAGATTAGGAACCAAGAAAGGAATAATGGAAGGAACCTTCTTTACCCATCTCTTCCTTCTCAGTATCTTCCTATAAATCTCTCTCTTCTCCTCTGGCCCCATCTTTAATGGAGGTGGTTCTGCTCCCTTTGCAAGAACCAGTGGTGGGGGTTGTGTAAATGGACATTTGCTCCTCCATGAAGTTTGGGGCAACCCAAGGTTGGCCAATTTCCTAAGGAAGAGTGAGAAAGCCCATTTCCAGTGAAGAGAGAGACACTGGTTTTTGGGTTTGTTGCAAAATATGGGTGGGTAATCCCAATTAATAAAACAGGGGATGCAGCTTGATACAAAGAATTGGGAAGAGAGAGAAGGTTGGGTGGTGGGTAGAGTGAGAATGTGGGTAAGGGCATTGCTTCTTTGCTCCCATGTGGTCTCAAGCAAGGATGAAGGTAGCTTCCTGTTCATCCCTGTCTGTATCAGTTTTTAAGAAAACAGCAGTGTCCCAAAACTTGGAGCTCACGGAAACATTTGTGATGGTGAAGAGATAATCCAGTTTGCCTCCATGGGGGCACTGGGGTTGCTTTGTTAACCATGTTAGGGACTCATTTCTTTTGTGATTTGTTATTGGAAAAAGAAAAAGATTTATTTTATATATAGCCGAGGCTCTAGTTGATGTCTAAATATCTAAAATTGATCATCTCGCATCAAGATGGATGGACATCATAAAAAAAAAAAAGATTTTAAATTGGAAAAAGTTTATATAAAGTTGCAACTTTAAAATGTAGAATTACAGATGCATTTCAAAAATGTATTGAAAAAAATTATTTTAATATTGAGAAACTCTCTAATTGATCATCTTGATATCAAAATGTATGAATATGAAGAAAAAAAATATTTTGAGCCCCAAAAATAATGTATCTTGAAACACAATATCTAGACAGTCCATTTTCAAGATTTCATCTCTTTGATTTTAACCATTTCTAGAGTTTAAAATTTTATAATGAAATATAAAAATAAATTTTCAGATAATCCTAAGAATTTTGTACATCAAAATTATGTTATAATAAAATTTGGAGGTACGCCTTAATTGGATTGTTTAAAGTTGCAACCTTATAGAAACCGCACCCTTTTAAGTTTTAGAAGTAGCACATCTTATAATGCATTTTGGACCATTAATTTTCAATATTTTAAAGTTTTCATGATCAACACTATTTTTTAAGCTTTAAATTTTATAATTAGAGATAAAAATGTACTTCAAGGCTATCACAAAGATTTCAAGTATTGAAACCATATTTCTCAATATCATTTGAAGGTGTGTACTACTTTGATTGTTTAGAGCCTCAATTCTATACAAACCGCACCTTTTTTCTTTTTCTTTTTTCTGCTGCCATATTTTAATATGAAAAAAGTTTATATAAGGTTGCAAGCTTAAAAATATAGAATTACATATGCACCTCAAAAATCCAGCGGAGAATGTTGTTTTAATGTTGCAAAATCCTCTGATAAATTATCTTTACATCAAGATGTGTGAATATGAAAAAAAAAAAATTGAGACAAAAAATAGTACATCTTGCAACACACTTTCTAGACTTTCTATTTTCAAGATTTCCATATATTTATAGATGTACTTGATTTCTTGGCTCTTTGGCTCATATCTTTGGTAGTAAAATTGACAAATTCCCTCTTAAGTACTTGGGAGTTTGCATATCCGACACTAAGCTTCTTCAAAGATGTGTGGAACCCTTTAATTCAGAGGTATCAAGTTAAGTTGAACTTCTAGAAATATAATACTATGTCTCTGGGAGGTCGTATTACCCTTATTAAATCCACTAATGCTAATCTTCCCATCTACTTGAAGTCCATTCTCCAAATGACTAGCGATATTATTAAGACCATTGAAAGGTTTATGCACAATTTTATTTGTAATTATTTTGATGATGATCATAAAAAATATCACCCGGTAGGGTGGGATAAAATATATACCCCAATCAAAATGGGTGGCGTTGGGATCTGAAATTTGAAATATATGAATTGAGCACTATTCTTTGTGGATAATTATTTATGGCCCAAATCAGGGAAAGAAGTCTCAGCAACCAGATCTTATTTATCATTTGATAATAAAACAAAGTGGCAAATCCTCATTGCAAATATGAAAGGGTATTTATAGTTGCAAAAATATGATTTTTAGCAATATTAGATGGTTAATTGAGAAATTTATTTCTTGTTTAACAAGTGGCATGGTGATCGGCCTCTCTCACTCTTATTCCCGAACTTTTGTTTTTTTTTTTTTCAAGAGTTTGCTTTCGCGGCTAAAATACTGGATTTAATTTCCGTTAACCACTCGGGTGCAGCTGCATGGAATATTTAGTGCTGCTATAATAGATTGGCAGACCATGTTATTCCGCAACTTCAAAGCTTACAGCTACTTCTAGAAGATTTAACACTTCGCCTTTCTGGGGAAGAAGATATTGTATAGGAAAGTGAAAGTGACAGTGTCTTCACAGTTAAATCTACTTATAAGTTACTTTTTCAAGAATTAGATGGTCATTTGAAAATCTTCATACAGTCTGGAAATTACCTATTCCTCTGAAGATTCAAGGTCCTTTGGATTGCTTTGCAAGATAAATGCCTCACTATAAACAATCTTCACAAGAGGAGTAAAATTATGCCTAACATCTATCTTTATGTGTAAAAATGAGGAAGAGACTGGCTACCATCTCTCTCTATATTGCTTCTTTGCTGATGATATTTAGAAATGTGCCTTTCAGTTATTGGGTTCTCTCTCTTGTTGTCTCTTAATTTAATTTCTATTATTAACTATTTTCATTTCGCTTCCTTGTCTTCAAAAGGACTTTTTATCTGAAAGATCTTTAGAAGTACAACAAACGATCTTTAGAAGTACTATTCTTTGGTAGATCTGGCTAAAGCACAACAGATGAGACTTTGACGAGATGTATCTGGATCTCGTTTGTATTAAAGAAAATTTTTTATAGACCCTATGAGATTGGTTCTCTATTACTCATGAAGGGTGAGAAGTTTCAAGGGCAGATATCTTTGTTAATTTAAGACTCCTAGCTTTCTCTTATATGCCTAAATACCGCCATTGTCTATTTGGAAGTTACCTCTAGAGGGTTATTTTAAACCCAATTTTGATGGGAGCTCCTTGGGTAACCTATGGCTACTCGGAGTTGGGAATACTTTGAGGGACCATGAAGAGTCCATTATTTTTTCTTACACTGAGCCATGTGGATCTACTACGGCTAATCAGGTTTAAATGGTCTCATTCTTTTGGGGATTGAAATTATAGTCAGCAAATGAATTTACGAAGTTATATTGATTGAAGGTGACTCACTCAATATAATAAAAATGATGCAAGCAAAAGTAAAGAATCACATGGTCTCTTCATATTTTATGGCTAAAGATTTATGATATCTGCTCTTCCCCTGGGTTTCGGGTCTCCTTCTTTCATGTCTGCTGAGAGGCTAATAATTTAATTGATCGTCTAGCAAAGCTTGATGTTTTTATCCTAAGTGTTTATTTTGTATGCTCTAATTCCAATGATGTGACTTATGCTTTCACAACAATTATTCATTAAAAGTTCCTAATATTTGTCAAAAAAAATTATTTTTTGCCACGGGTGCCAAGAGTTCAAGAACTAAAAATCCAACGTTTGAAAAGAGTCATTTGGTCACCGGATTATGAAATCTCGCATTGGAAAACCGTTCAAAGCGGCTATTCCAGCCGTGGGACTATGTTTGGCAGTATGATCCTGTGGGGACTAACATACTAATAATATAACTATTGTTATTTGTTTTCGCAAGGATCTTTTCCGTCTCCCTCAAGTCTATACCATTACTCCCCATAGATATATACCAAAATATTTGGGAGAGAAGTTCTGCGTTTCTTTTTCTCTCGTCGACAGTAACCTTTCCCTCTCTCCTGCGAACCAAGAAAACCTCCAAAGATGCCAACAGGTTCTCTCTCTCTAACCCCCTCTCTCTCTCTCTCTCACCCTTTCTCTCAATCTAATATTCAAAAATTTCATTATATGACATCTTTCACGGAATGTTTCACTAGTTATTTGGTACTCAGTATTTGAAGATGGATCGGTCTTGTTTTCTTCAAAATCCGGCTTTTGATTTGTGTTTATTGTTGGTTTTCATGTGGCTGGCTTTCGCACACCTTCAAAATTCTTATTTCTATAAAAAATTTGTGTATCATTAGCTATAGTTGTATTCTGGGCAGCGGAATTTCTTATTCCTTCTTTTATTTCTCTTTTCTGTGCCATAAATTGTAATTTTGTTTTATGTTTGTTCATTGATCTATTTTTCAGAGTTTTTCTTTTGTGTGCTGCATGATTACATGAAATTGGTCAGGAACCTTGTAGTTTGAATGGATGGTTTTTATAGTTCTTTATGCTTATATGTTTAAAAGTTAATATTTTTGGGTGTGGAATTTCTCTTTTGAAATTTATGTGGTTTTCGGATTCTGTCTTTTATTTGGTTTTCTCTTAGTTTTTATTTCCTTGTATTTTATGATGGGGCAATCACGACTTTGATGCTGATGCTGAGGGGCTGATTGTTAGCATGAATTTCCAAAAGAGGCTGCATTCTTCCACTTTTGTTGAATATCGAAGTGTGGGCTAATGGAGTTATTTATACAATTTGCTGTTCAATACTTCAACATAAACAATATGGTATCATGCTGGTTAATTATTCAATGATAATAATAGTCAGAGTAATAGTCTTAGTAAAATATCAATATTAATAATAATAATAACAACAAAAAGAATGACATTATTATCTTAATAACTTTGTCATTGATTTTCATATGGTAATATGATGTACTTCCTAATTGGAGGGTTGGGATGCGAAGAGAGGTCTCCCTTGTAATAGGAGTGAAGAATGATCCGACCTGGCTACAAGAAGACAGGCAGAGTGGCGGGGCAAAGGTACCAGACGTTAATGAGAGAGAGATAAGTGAGTTGGTCTCAATGAGAGCCCATGCGAGTCTCGTGTGATAGTCTGACCCTGATTAAGGAAATAGTGATAAGGATCCCATATGGGATAGATTATAATAGTAAAGGTAATATCAATATTTTTTTTGAAACTGTTAATAAAGCAATACCAATATTAATAACAATAACAACAACAATAAGAATGACATTATTATCTTAATAACTTTGTCATTGATTTTCATATGGTAATATGACGTACTACTTCCTATGATAAGGATCCCATATGGGATAGAAGTACTTTTCCTTAAGGAACTTTTGGCATCAAGGATCAAAGAGCACTTGAGTACTTCCATGACGCCAGGGTTGGTTAATCCAATTTTGAAATTTTTATATTATGGAAGTACATGATGGACCTGTTGAAATAAATCAACAAATTGGCTGATTAGCCCGTTGGTTCACTAATTCAAGCCAACTTTCATACTAACGCCATACCTCTCCGAAGATGTTTTCATGCATCAATTATGGGGTAACCATTCTCAAAAAAAAACTATGGGGTCATAAACCTATCTATCTCATGATTACTTGAGGCATGGTACTTAGTTCTGAGTGATGTATGACAGTTTGTGTGTGTCGAACATGATATGTTTGGGTTATTAACAAACTTGAAATCTTTACCTGTAAAAGCTATGTTGATGTCCAACAAAAACAATATATTTGTAAAAGGTTTTCAGATGCTGATTGGGCTGGCAGCTTGATAGATAGAAAGTTGACAATGGGGTATTGAATTCAATGGGATGATGCATTATGGTTGGAGTCAATCTAGTTAAATGGAGGAATAAAAGGCAAAGCTTAGTTGCCAAGTCTACAGCAAAAGCCGAAAATTGGAAAATGGCCATAACTACTTATACTTATTTGGTTGATTCCTTCTTCAGGATATAGAGATCATGGATACTTATTCCATTGCCATCTATTGCAATAACTGGGAAGCCACTCAAATTTCCTCAAATATCTTGAACACATAGCAAATTGAAATGAATAGCTACTTAAGAGAAAGTTATTGCTGAAGTCATTAAGTCTTCATATTTGAAGAGAAATAGCTGACTGCCATCTTGATGACATTGCTTGTAAGGAGAAGTAGCAGTGTATATTTGTCATATTGCTCATAACTGACACTCTTGCATTAGCTCGATGGGGAGAGTTGAGGACTTCAAGTGTTACTGCAACATAAAAAGTTGTAACTTTTTCTCAATTTATATATGTTAAATTATATCATGATTTACAACTAGAGGGCATTGATCCTAAACAGGATGTATTAGTATTTTATGGGCTGTGCTGTTCTGTTTGAAACTAAGGTTAGTGAAAATGGACTTGGGTTAACTTTGTAGGATAGCTAGGGTTAGGTTTTATAGATTAGTAAGGGAGTGACATAATATTCTTGAAGTTAGGTTTCTAGGTTAAGGTTGGCATAATGGTCTAGGTTGAAATGTATGATGATGTGATCCTTAGGAGTGATTAGAGCTTGTTGGAGTTCTCCTTAAATCATTTGTTAATGCATCTTTTTTGGTGAAGATTTTCTCCTTCGTGGAGCACTTTTTTTTGTTGTCATCGTCTTGAATGCAGGTTGCTTGCCTTATAGCATCCTGACTGGTCTGACATTTTCTCCATTAAAAGGAACTGGGATAAATACTTATATGGTTTTTTTTTTTTTTTTTTTACAAATTTCAATTATTTGTCTATGAACATAGAGTTAGTTATATAAAAAGAAAAATATCTTTAAATTGTAGTGGCAGAAAATTTTCTTCCATTTACTAGCACTGACAATTCTTTTTGCTAGCACTGACAAATCTTTGTCTTTTTTCCAGTTAGTGTAAAATGGCAAAAGGAAATCTTTCCGGCTGTTGAAATTGACACCAGCCAACCTCCACTAGTGTTCAAATGCCAGTTGTATGACCTAACTGGAGTGCCCCCAGAGCGGCAAAAAATAATGGTGAAGGGAGGTTTGTTGAAGGTGTGAACTTGGCACTCATGCATGTTCTTCATAAAAAATAGGATATACTACTCATGGATCACCTGATATATTGTACCATTTTTTTAAAGAACTTGTTTTGTACTCTTGTACTCCAAATCGATTCTCATATGATAGTGATGGAAATTAGAAATTAGATTTGAGTTTTTTCTTCTTATGCAGGATGATGCAGATTGGAATGCAATAGGGGTGAAAGAGGTGCTACTACTTCCTTAGTTGTTTTCTCTTGAGGATTTTCATCATCTCAATGTTTGCTCTCAAACTAAATGTCTATTGTTTGCTAGGGTCAAAGATTAATGATGATGGGAACTGCAGATGAGGTTGTAAAAACACCAGAAAAGGGTCCTGTATTCGTGGAAGATCTCCCTGAAGATGAACAAGTAGTTGCTGTGGTTAGTAAACCATTGAATATGATTACGAGGAGTTGTTCTCATTTAATACTATTGGTTTATTTAAGTACAGCATATGAGTGTTTGTATTTCAACACCTGATATTATGATATTCATATACATCGTGTGAAGTACAACACCTCTACAAGGTTTTGTACTTCAAAATGCTAGTCTGAGCAATCTTATTTTCAACATTTAGACTTGTTATGAGAAGCTTGTAGGCACAGCATGTTCCGTCCAAATGCTAGTTATGTCAGATTAGTGATGTAAGATCTTCCTCTCTCTATTGTCCTGTTTCCCCATTTGTCCCCACTTTGACCATTTTAGATATCTTGCTCATTAGGGCTAGGAGTGAATTTATCATTCTGTTCTATGTTAATCACATGGGAGAATCTTGTTGTCTAATTCATTAAACTCATTCTCTTTAGTACTATCACGCATGCGGTCTATTTTCCAGGGCAGTCAAAATGCTTGTGATATGGATTTTTAATTTTATCAATGATTTCTTGTAATGATTCGTCACATACTGCTTTGCAATTTGAGTTCCTATGGTTTCTGTGGATATAGGAATTAAAGCCCCGTATTATATGTCTTGAGTTAAGGCACAGCACTTCAATATCGCAGTGTATTTTAAATATGTGATGATGTTATGTCTGAGATAGAACTAGTTTGTTGCCATGTCGAAATTTTATCTGAAATTATGTTATGCTGTAATAATCCATTGCTCCTGAAAATCTGTTCTTCTCTATGACCAGGGGCACAGTGCTGGTCTATATAATTTGGGGAATACCTGCTACATGAACTCAACCTTACAGTGCTTGCATTCAGTTCCAGAGTTGAAGTCGGCTTTGTCAAAGTAATCTTGCTTGTTTCATGCCTGATCATTGGATTTCTTTGCTTTTGAGAAACCTTCTATGGTAGTTCTATTTTTTTATTCTCTCGGAAATTGACATTTTAAACTGCCACAATATTTGTGGGCTGTTGTCTGCTTTCTATATTGTTTTAACAACAGTTATGCACATTCTGGACGGAGAAGTGATTTAGATCCAACGTCCCATCAGCTCACCGTTGCAACTAGGGATCTGTTTGGCGAGCTTGATCGAAATTTCAAGCCTGTGTCCCCAATGCAGTTTTGGATGGTTAGTTCTCGCTATTGAATTTTCTGTGGTCATCAACCATCTTCTCTGAAATGAAAGATGCTCTTGCTTTCCCTCTCTTATTAATGAAGTTCTGTTCTGGACATTAAAGGGTTTAATTTGAAACATGCTCTAATGATCATGATTGTGGGTGGAATGGAATGTTTGCTACGACTACATAATTTAAATATTTAGTTGCGGAGTGAAGGTCCTGCCATGAGACAAAATAAACAAGTAAACAAATAAAAGATCACAAGTTGAAGTTATTCAATATATCATTGGATACTCTCATATTGTATTGTTTATATATCAAGCACTACAACCAAATGCTTTCTTTGGCGCTGTGTGAAATGCTTCATTGTATATTTGATGATTTGTGGATAGGGTGACTCTTGGGAATGGTTTCATTTTTCTTCTCCAGATCACTAGTTGTGTCGATGCTTGTATATAGTTATCCTTATGGTCCTAGAGATTGTATGACTCTTGAAACTGGTTCTAAAACTGTGATTAGGGAATACTTCCAAACAGCTGTTGTGATTTCTACTTCTAATGGTTATGGAAGTTATGAGGACCTTGAAACATGTTTGTAAATGCCATATACTCACTGTCTGGATTTAAATGCATATTGAAAGGGGGTTTTATGGTCAGTGTTGTCCGACACCTCATTTTCCTTGTGTCGATTGTCGTCACATGTCGACATGCCTCGACATGCACCGGACATGCAGTCCAATGTGTAATTGTGATGACACTTCATATCGATGTGTATAAGGTATTTTCAATAAGAAGGACACAATGTCCCAATTCTGTTTATATACACAATGTCCCGATTCTTTTTATATAAAGTACAACTCTAATTCATGGGTTTTGAACCCATGACCTTTCAATGTGATGTGGAGAGAACTAACCAACTCACCCTCAGTTGCAGCTGTGTCTTATGTTCCACAATTATAATGCTCATAGCTTTAAAAGGTGCAACTGAAGGCATAAATGCCCATTCTGACATCTGTTATTGTACAAAAAATTAAATCAAGTGTGATTCACATGGAACTAAAAAGAAAAAGCAACATTTTTAGTACAAAATATTAAAGTGAATCACATGGGACTCAAAAAAAAAAAAAAACGAAAGAATCTATCTCTTCTGAAGCAAGCATATGTTTCTTTTATAGATTTTATACGTATGTCATTATCATATTAATATAGTTCTACACAGACTCAGAATACGTCTCTAAAATTTAAGTGTGGTTTATATTCATTCTAAATTTTGAAATGTAAACTTCTCTTTGAGGGATTTGAGCTTGTATCCCTCTAAGATAAATGTCAATGATTCTATCAACACAACTATCAAAGATGTTTAGCATATATTATGCAAAATATTGTTATTAATAAGTTTTAAAAAGCATCATTGTAAAAAATAAATGAAAATAAGCAAATATGTTTTTTTTTTTTGCATAAATAGTATTTATATTTTTTATCTCTTAAGTTCCACTTACTATTTTGTGGATTTCTTCTATAATTTATTTATATATAAAAAGTTGTATTGACTTGTTTGGTCTATCCTGGGCTTTTAGGTCGAATTACTAGACACCTGAAACACGACGCTCCTGTCGGTGTCCATGTTACACTCTTTATGATTGATGTTAGCCGTATATAGATGTTAACTTGAACTATTGAAGTTCCTGTGTTCTCCGTACACATCATATACTTTTTCTTGCTTTATTTGTGTACAGTTGATGTTATGGATTATGTTAAACTCAAAGGATAAAAATCAGATTTGATGGTGAAGAGCTACACGATATCCAAAACATATTATGAATCCAGAATACCTCTGCATTTTATGTGAATGGGTGACTCAGATTTGACTCACCAAATCACCTAATCGAGTTGGCTCATGATTCTGAGTAGCTTGCTTGTGGAAAAGGCATGGCTTCTAGACAATATTTTCATGTATATACAAGGGATATGCTTCCAGACTTTATCCAAGGACAAGTGAACTAATGAGCAAGGGGATCGAGTCACAGAGTGAGGCATGGACAAGTGAATCATAAGATTGACTCGACTTGGCAAAGGGTTATGTCAGTTGGACGTGGATTAGTCCTACTCCTAACAAGCAGTTATTGATAGAATACTAAGTCATGGTTACTCTTGTAACATAAAAGACATTCAAAATATAAAAAGAATGATGTTTTGAAGGACTTGCATGTAAAGATCCAATTCCAGGGTAACATATGCTTGTGCGATTAGCTATCGGAATTTTATCATACCTCTAAAGGACATCTTGTTAAAGGTTGAAAGTATCTCCAATCAATTCTTCAGAGGCTTATTGGGTGAGACTTAGAATGTCATACCTAATAAGCCACCTAAAGCAAGGGACTGCCAATTGTTGCCCCATGGGACAAAAATATGAGACACTGGGAGCCATTGTTGTAGATAAGGAAGGACCAAAGTCGTCTTTTTTGTCGTCCTCATTGTGAGCTATTGTAATCCACTTCGAGGAAATTATAAAAATGAGCGGTCCTGCCTCATGATGATTATTAGAATATAACTCATTTCTTATATTGAGGGCTTCGTGATGTTTGTTGGCTCGTAAGGCTGTCACTGCGAGTTTGAGGTCGTGGGTAGTGTCATATGATTCCATAGCTTCACTGTTGCTAATGTGGTTTTACAGTTCTGTGTGGCTGCACGAGTTGAAGTCCTCATGGAATATTGACCTAATGGCTTAGACCTCTGACCTCTATAGTGTCATGAGCTCTTGGAATCCACAGCCCATGGCTGTGACTCCATATAGGTGATAGCTTGGATGTGTGAGCCCTAATGAGATTATGGCGCTGCCATGACCCCCATGGGGGCAATGAGATCTACGAACGATAACCTGGGGCATATGCCCCATGGAGCTATACCCCGACGCCACGAATCTTTTAGTGGACCCTGTGGTTATTTTCCCTGCAGGGTGCACGCCTTAGGGCTGTTGGGTTGTTCATAGTTGACCTAAATTTAGGGTCTTGGTTTTTGGTGAGGCGATGACGGTGTATCGGAATGGTCAGGGACAAAGAGTTCCATGGCAAAACCTATGTCATGTCAGACCTTGTTTTGTTACTCATTATTAGGAGTATGTGGAGAAACTTCCTATAATAACGTCCGGAGGTTTACTACATGCATGCAGCACATGCCCAATAACTTTGGAGCTGAGGTGGTTTGGAGCCCATTGCCAGGTGAGTTGTTCTGGTCCAATTCTGGTGTAATCTCTAATGGAAATCCTTCCTACTAGTTTTGGAGGTGCCATGGCAGTTGATAGTAAGTAGATTTTCAATAGAGTGTTCAGACTTGAGGATCTTGGGATTCTTCATGGGTAGAGTCACCATTCTTGTGGAACCAAATTTCTGTAAGGAAGGTGCTTCTTAAAGCCATGCATTAATGAGGATGACTCGATGCCATAGAGTGACTGAGGTAGATCTTTTTAGCATGGAGCAAGGCCCAGGAATAAGTTTTCAGCAAAATGTCAAACCCCATTCTTGGGTGGTCAATGTGATTGAAACTACCAATGGAAGTCTGATATGCAAGCATTGTTGGTCAAGGATTGGAACCTCTATGTTTTATGTTGTCAGTATCTCACCCTGCTAGGCATTCACAATTACTGATGGCTATCTACTTTGTATTTGTGAGAAATGGGTATGTTTTTTTTCACAGTTTTTCATACGTGGCAGGTTTTGCGGAAGAAGTTTCCTCAATTTGGTCAGCAGCAAAATGGTTTCTTCATGCAACAGGTTCTAAAATTTCAGAAGTTGTTTTGAGGTTGCAATTATGTTTGTTTTATTCCTTTTTGAGACCTAGTAGCATTCTTTGAAAAATTTTCCAGGATGCTGAGGAATGTTGGACTCAACTTATGTATACGCTCTCACAATCTCTCAAGTCACCTGATCCAGGGTATTTTCCATGTTGTAGACCAAATTAATATTTCAGTTATCACATGCATCTGTATAATTCTAAGCATGATTTTTAATGTCAGGGTTTTAACTTGGAAGCTATTCATTTGCTGCTCTTTCTTTTGATAGTTGCCTTCACTGCTCTTTCTCAACTTTATCATATCGACTGTTTGTTGTTATCATTATTCATAGTATTACTTCTGTGGCTTCTTTTTCTTGATAAATTATTTTTGTTGTTTCTTCATCACATTGGAAGGAATATCTCTTAAGTCCTAATTAGAAAATATCAGTATAAAGTTGTTTTTGAACAATATTATTGAATACTTCATTGTATTAAAAGATCTGTACAGGTGGTGATTGCATATAATTCACCAGTTTGGGCTCCACTTACATGTTAGCTAGTTACCTTTATCTTTTATTTATCTATAAGTTTTTGTTGATTATTTATTATCCTCCAGGTTTACTTATGTAGTTAAACTTTTTAAGACAATTTTAGCATTATGTACATATAAGTGCATATTCATGATCAATTTTTTTTTTATTCTAACTATCATTAAGCGTTTAATTTTTTAAGGATGTTTATGATCCCATCTTCCTTTATCACAATTCGTGAATTTTTTAAATATTTCTTCAAAATGCTCAATAACTAACTTTTCAATTTCTTGTCTCGTTGATTATGAAAATAAATAAGTGTGTCAAAGGACTCAAAGGCATCTCTGTAGATTTGTGGCATCTGCCCCTCCCCTTCCCCCCACCCCCCCCAAAAAAAAAAGAAAACAAAGACACCCACCCATTAAATAAAATAAAACACAAAAGGTTTCTCCCATTAAAGGGAAAATGATCATGACCTTAATTGCCTTTTCCAGGGGCTTTTTTGTGGTCCTGTAGGGCATGTTCAAAAGCACCGGCCTTGGACCTAGGTGCACGTTCAAAAGAACCTGCCTTGGACCTAGGTGCTAGATGGCACCTGGCCAAGGCTCGTCCCAAGGTGGCCTGGCTTCCCTAGGCAGGGCATTAAGGCCCTCTCTCTCTTAGGCACATGGCGAGAGCCCCCCTGCCCCCCTCTCTATTTTATTTTTAGTTTTTGCTTTTTTTAAATCTTCACAATGGTCAAGGGTGAGTCCACTCAGACTTGACTAACTAACATGGCTTGGGCTAGGGCTGAGTCGGAGAACACTAATACATATCTACATACACATAGAAACACGTATGTACTTGATCTATACATATATATGTACATACATATATTACTTACAAACTCCTATGAGTGAATTTCTATAGTACTCCAAATCATGGCTTATCACCATCCAAAGTTCATCAGATGCCTAAGATTACCTACTTGTATTTGAATTTTAATATTTTTCTACAAATCCAATTTATTTGAAATTTGGTTCGCCTGTACTTCTAAGCAGTTCAAACAAAAATAAAATATGAAAAATATTTGTCAAAAATAAAATGATGAAAATACTTTTGAAATATTTATAGGGGTAATTTGGTTTTATCATGTGAATTGTTTTTTTATATGTTATTTAGGTGCACCTCATTGAGGCACACACCCCCACAAAATTTGATGTTTATCCAGATTGTAAAATTATTCGAAATCAAATACTCAGATAATTGTGACTGTCTGATGAATTTAGGACGGTATGAGTGAAATACTATAGAAGTTCACACATGAGTGTTTTTAAGTGTTCTTCATACATATACAGACACACACATATCCACACACATGCATGCACACATATATATATACACACACGTGCATGCACGCGCATGTATGTACACACACGCGCATGCACGCACATATATATACATACACACGCACACACATCTACGTACACACAGACACCTATATAGAGGAAAAAGCTACCAAAAGGTTGTCACCTAAATATATAGTAGTTTAGGTTATGCTACCCATTAGATTGGATGATTGACAATGCATGTTACTATTTGAATTTAATTTAAATTTTTTTTATGTTGGATGAGATGAAATTTTTGTGTGTGAGCTCTACGTAATAAGCCGCATAAAAGAAAAATATAAACATATATTTCTCAAAGTTAAAATGACCAAGCTACCCCTGGAATATGGCAAGGGTAATTTGGTCATTTTAAATCTTTATGTGGTGTGTGATGGTGTCAAGTACATGCTCCTATAATTTCTGCTTAATCTGATTTATAGATAAAAGATTGAAATTATAATTGTAACATGCATTTTCAGCAATCCGATCATCAATCTGATGGCCGGAGTATATCCTAATCTACTATTCATTTTAGGTGAACCTATTGGTTGTTTTTGCGCGCACACACACACACACACATATATACACATACATACATAGAGTTGTTCTAAACAATTGGCATCCTTGTTGCAATTGTTTTTCCATTGAAATGGGCTGTTATTGGTTTCATTGTTCTGAATGTGGAGTTTATATGATGATCCTACTTGAGAAGGGGTAATATGCTTGTGTTGTTTAGAATAGCTAAGGCTATAGTTTGTATCAATGTTAAAAAACAAGGCTTGTACTCGCGGCTTGGCAGGATCTTGAGTCGGATCGTTTGTACAGATTCAGCAGAGTCTGCCAGGGAATCAGACAAGTTCTATACAAATAATAGAGATAAAATATAGGAACTAGGCAAATTTGGTCGGTTCCTACTCGGACTCGGCACCCTATTGAGTCCAAGTGACTTGGGCGAGTCAGAGTGGACTGGCCAAGTTTTGGAACACTGGTTCGTATTGTTATGGGTTGTTTTGGAAGCATTTGTGTTTTGACTCACTGTTGTTGTTGTATGCCTTTGCACCTTGTTGGTCAAGGTTTCTCATTTTAGAATGTAGAATACAGATATTTCCCTTTCTATGCTTCAGAAATGGAACCTGGAAATCCTAATTCCAAACTTGTATATTAGCTATAGTAAACCAAAATCTGAATAATGAAAAACTTTGTATTAGGTTACGTAGATACCATACTCACTCACATAAATGACTTGAAGAAATGACTAAAGTACTGTCATGTCTAATATATGTGAGTAGCTATAAACAACTGACTGATCCCAAAAAAAAAAAAACAACTGCACATGGAAAGGTATTTAATAACAGCGGATTCACAAGATAATCAACACAACCCGTAACACCCAACAAACTCTGCATCGCTATGCTTGGAGTATGTTAAACTTAAGGGGTTTGGTATATCATCCAAGTGCTTAGGAGCATTATTTTTTAGGGGATGGAAGCAAATGCCACAGCAGATGCCTTGGTTGATGAAGGGCCCACACTTTGGCTAAGGAAGCCGCATAACTATATAGACTAATTCAATATATGACAGAAGGTATCTCAGGTAGAACCTTTATAGCGTTCCTTAGACATAGCGGCAAGTGATGAGCGTTCACCTTCTTTCTTAGTAGCCTTAGAACAAGTCAATGAGCTAAACCCTAGTGTAGACTTGCTCTACATGGGCTACACAAGCCAGGCTGTTCGCCTTTTTATCTTTGGTATCCATAGACAAAGCCTATTTATTTGGTTCTGTGGCTTCCTTAGTCTATGGGCGAACAGACCACCTATTTTGATCTAATGAACTAGGGGTAGCTGAGATGTGAGCCTTACTTTAGTATAGCAGAAATCCTTGAGACTAATTACGAAGAACCCATGGGTGAAACTAAGTGGTGGTCCGAACCGACTGATGTTGAAGAATCAGCGAATGAGTTGTGGTTAGGGGTGAAATGCCACTCAAACCCAGAGCTAGCTGGTTCTCCCTGACATGCGTTGAGGCATGGCAGTTGACTGGACATCTAGGGGTAAAGCACTGTTTCGGTGCGGGCAACCCAAAGTTTTTTGTATTAAACTCATTGTAACCTTGGTCTTGATGCTAGGCATTTTTGCTTCCCTTTTGTTCTCACCTTAGTGACCTGGTTTGCCCAACCAAGGGGTCAATTCTGCTCCGAAATCTCGCTTCTATGCTCCAGGGAAGGGAATATACTACACTGTATACTAATATTGTATATACTATGCTACTATACTAGTTAAGTTCTCGTGGGGCCCTCGATTTTTAACCATATGTAGTTCGATCCTGTATAGCCTATCATTTGACCTCAATTAAGTGTGGGTCGAGCTCGCTCACATGTTGGGATTTAGATCTCTAGTCTTCAAGGTGTATGGACTATGATCCCTACCATAAGGAGCTTACTTGCTTGTCGGGATTCCTTGGTCCCAATCTCGACCCCAATCCCAACGATTATGTTCCTCACCTTTGTATAGGTGACTCATTCATGTAATACCTTATTACTTCAATATAGTACTTATTTTCCAAAAGAAAGAGAAAAGGGTTTTAGTGGGTTGAGTTCTTGTTTGAAGAATTAGTGAATCTGTGATTCAATGGTTGCCATCTGTTGATTATTGCTTTTTTAGAGATGACATTGGTGACAGCTGCATTCTGATGTTGACTCTGTTCTGGTTTGATGTATGGTATCACAGCTTAAATGTGAAAGAAGAATTTTATGTGTTCTCAGTAAATAATAGAAGTTTGCTTTGGGACCTTGATTTTCTTATGGACTATTTTGGGTTTACCCATTCTTATTCTTCCTAATTATGAACTAGAACTTTATATTCTTGATTCCAGAGTGTCTTCTTTGGGTTATTTTATTTCACAGAAGTTGCTTAATGTTGTTTATTACTATTCGTATGTCATGCAGTCTCCTGCTAGTTGATTTTCTTTTATCTTTTGCATGTTTTGGTGCAGAGAAAATCCAGAGACTGTGAAGAGACTGTTTGGAATTGAGCTTGTCAGTAGGTGAGTATGGGAATCCTAGATAATAATTTTTTATGTTTACAATGTTATGAAACATGTTTGGGAATATTCGTTTTCCTTTGTTGAAAAACCATATTTCTATCACAACGAAGATGGACATTGCCCCACTTCCAACCTCTGTGTACCTAAGCTAACTGCTGAAAATTTGTTTGGAATGACATAATAATTTTTAAAATGGTATAGGCCATAAGATAATGAGTTTACTAGAAATGTCTGTTAAGTATTGAAGAATCAATCTCACTTCTCAATTCTCAATTCCACGCTCTTCATTAATTTAGCTGAATTTTTTGCGACAGAATCAGGTGCCTCTGCTCCTGTTTCTTGGTGAAGTTCACGTGCATGAAGACCTCAACCCACACTTCTGGGCATGCTCATGATCTTTAATAACACTGCTAAGACTTGTTCTGGTTTAGGGTTTTTGTTGGCTTCCTTCAATATTTCACTTTGGCACCTTTTCTTGTTCGATACTGGGTTATAATGTCCATATTACTAGTAGGCATATTCCCCTAGTTTTTTGTCCTCAATCCTCCTTTACGAGATGGGATCTTTGATCATTGGCGAGATCATGGAAATGAATCCAATTTTAATTAAGATAATGAATCCTGAAGGCTTAGGTGGCACTTACATCAGTCCATAATTCTTAAATGCCATTGAAAGAGGACGATGAGTTGAAAAGCCATCATATTCTACATGGTTATAGATCTGCTTTCAGTTTTGTACTATCGTACTCTACGGTGTTATTTTATCTACTTGCATGCTTTGTACAATGTCAGTATTGTACTGAAGTACAGTTTGACATTCTTTCCTCCCAACTCTTCATGGATGATAGACTGGAGATATTAACTAAGGAGAGTTTGCTTACTAATTATTGGTGTTGATCTTAAGTTTTGGCTTTAGCAAAGGGCATCACTTGGTTCATCTACCATGGATTATATGAGTTTACAAGATGCCGACAAGAAATTCCTGCCAACAGAAATGGTAATCAATGTCAATGTGCTTTGTTCTATCATCCAAGACCAGATTTGAAGTAATTTGGATAGCATTGAGGTTGTCGCTATCATGTTTCTTATTGCTTTGGGAGATAAGAGAGGTACCAAGAAAGGCATAATAACTTGTGGCGAACAGTTATCTGAGCATCCAACCCAGCATGAATCAGAATAAGATGTGAGTTGAAGTGGTTTGAAGATAACATTAGAAAACCTTTCTCAAGATAGAAAAGAATGCATCCAATGCTGTAAGATGTTACCGATAAGTGTGGCTTCGGTAGTGATATTGTATAGTTGCTACTACATGCATGCTCTTTACCTGGGTGATTCAAATAAAATAGGTCCTAAACTAGCCGTTGATACCAAGTCAGAGGACAACAAGATCACCCATCTGAGTGGATAACTTCACATTCAACTCAAGTGGAGTATCCACTCTCTTACTTTCTAATGTTCCAAAGTAATAGCATTCTAGGTGTATACTGTGGAACGGTTGTGAGTACTATTGAATATACTGAGTTTGGTGGCTGTTTTGGCTATCAAAATCACATCTGTGAATGAGTGGTTTTTGAACCTTTGTTTAATGGTTTTGTGGAGAGACAAATTATTTTCAACAACAATAGGTCTACATCAGGGGTCGCCATACCTCTTTGTCTTAGTTATGAACGACTTAACTAGGCAACTACAAGATGAGGTATGTGGTGTATATTATTCGCAAACGATATAGTTTTGATTTATGAGACTTGAAGCGGTGTCAACACAAAGTTAGAACTTTAGAAGGATTCTCTAAAATCTAAAGGTTTTAAAATTAGCCGGACTAAGATAGAGTATATATGTATTGCAAGTTTAGTAATAATAGGAGTACGGATGTGGAAGTAGTTAAGATTGGTAGCCAAGAATTACTAAAAAGAACGCACATTCAATATCTTGGGTCAATGAAGGAAAATTCGGCCGCCTTGCCACCTAGGTGCCCATTTTCTCAAACCGCCTAGGCATTGACTAAGAGGTATGCTCCAGGCAGGTTCATCTAGGCGCCCGCCTAGGCAGCTTAAAAGGCGGGCACCACCTTGACCAATCAAGGTCGAGGGGGGAAAATGCCCCTCGACCATTGGGTAAATTTGTCACCCCCCCCTCCAAAAAGGGGATGAAATGGTTTTGGGGGCTATTCTTGTCCCCAAAAATGTTTTTAGTGATGTTTAGAATGAGAAAAGCCTTGAAAAAAATAAAATTTGAAGATTTGTAGAGAGATCAAATTTTTTTGAGCAAATTAGGGTTCTATTACCTTTTGGTGACCAATATGCCCAATATTACAAGCACCACCCCTTCCCTCAGCCTTTTTTCCCCTAAGTTGGCCCCCTGTCTGGCAATGAAAACACCGGACATGGGGCTATTCTTTCCTAGTTCTTTGCTGTCTGGTGTTCGAAATACCGGATAGCTGTCTACGATCCCTAAAACCAGCGAGTACTCTCTTCCCATCATTTTAAAGAGAGACAGAAAAAAGTGCAAAACATAAAATATTTATTACAACTGTTCACTTTATTCGAACCACCACCCTAAGAAGCACAAAACAATAGCGATTAATTCAAGAAATAAAGGGGAAGGACAAGAAGAGAAACATAAAAATATCAATTAGAGAGAGAGTGGACACGACCTTTAGTATCAGACTCCAGAATTCTAAAATACAGTCTACTGATATATTCCTTGGCAGTGCAATTCATGAAATTAAGAAAAAAAATGGAGCATTATAATTATAAAGCAGTTCAATGAAGCTGCCAAAACCTAATTGTCATGTGACTGCATCATCGCTTGAATTTTAAAGTTTCCATTTCTAACAACAGCAATAACAATGACAACAACAATCGAATAACAACAATAAGATTTCCACCAAATGTGAGATGCTACAGCTTATCTCTTTCAAGCCATCAAGAATGTACGCTGCAACTGATGCCCACAGTAGTAGATGAAGATTACGCTCCTTTGCAGTAGCAGCAACAAATAAACCAATCGTAGAAGATGGTGATGCCAGAGTTTGTTTCCTTTGGCTGGTTCGCTTTGTCTGTCTCTCTCTAATCGATCTTTTTCTATTTCTCTTCTATCTATTTCTTGAATTGATCACTACTATTTTGTGCTTCTTAGGGTCGTTGTTCGCATAAACTAAATAATCATAATGAATATTTTGTTTTTTGCTCTCTTTTTGTCTCTCTTTAATAAAAAGACGGGAAGAGAGAGCTCGCTAGTTTTGGGGATAGCAGATAACTTTCGGGTATTTCGAACATCGGACAACAAAGAACTAGGAAAGAATAGCCCCCCTTGTCTGGTGTTTTCACTACCGGTCAAGGGGTCAACTTAGGGAGAAAAAAAGGCCACGGGGAGGGGGGGTGGCGCTCGTAATATTGCCCGTATTGGACACCAAATGGTAACATACCCCACCCCAATATGGTCTGTACGTAATTTGCCCGAATATTTTTCAACCTCCTCGAATGCTCACAAAATGAAAGGATATTTATCCCCAATTTTTTTTACGCTTATAGTGGTTGTAAAATTGAAGATTTAGGAACCCAAACTTTCCAGTTTGGGTCAATATTGATTCCATTTCAAGAAGGTATGGCATCAAGCACTATGAGTGCTACTTGATCCCAAACATACAGAAGGGAGAAGGAAGTGGCCTAGGAAAAGGGGAAGGGGAAGGGGAAGGGGAAGAAGAAGGTGCAGATGAAGAGGAGGAGGATGCAGACTCAGAGGAAACAAGGGAAGAAGGTTTTTATGTGGAGAAGGATGACTCTGATGATTGGCATCATCATCAACTTCAGGTGCATTGGATGCCGGAAGTCGGCCTCATGTTGCTAGTGTTGATGAAACTCAACCTCATAATTGAGTTCATCATATTTGTCGGATGTGACTTTTTTTTGTTTTATGACTTATGAGTATCTGTTGTGACTTGTGAGATTTAATGGACATCTCGAGTTGCTTTTACCAATTGGGCCTTCAAGAAACAATATTTCCATAGGATGATTGTAGCTGAGATGAGGATGTTGAGATGGATGAGTGAGAAGACAAGAAGGGATGAAATTCATAATGCATACATTAGGGAGAACTTAGATGTGGCTCCAATAGACGATAAGATGAGAGAAAGTAGACTTAAGTGGGCTGGCCATGTGCAGTGCAGACCTAGTACAACACCTGCTAGGTGGTGCGAGTTGGTTTTAGTAGAACTGTAGAAGGCTCAAAAAGTGTAAGGGGTATACTCAAAAGGACAAGGTTGGAAGTAGTGAGAAAAGATATGAGGACTTATGGCCTCAATGAGGGTATGGCTCTTGATAGAGCAGAATAACGAATCATGATTCGTGTAGTTGAACCTAAATAGGTGGGAAAAGGATCTGATGAAAGTGGAATATTGCATGCCTCCCCAAGAACGACATCCTTAAAAAAGGAAAGGATGGTGTGAGTCCAATTAGTAGACGAGTTTTGACGAACTGAGTAATTGTAGGCTTGTTAAAATGTTTATTTGTCATGTGACTTTTATGTTACTTTGCATTTTGCAAGTAAACAGGATCCAGAAATGGAGCGAAACAATGTGTTGTAGAAGTGTTCCATGACAAGTGTATTAAAAAGTTCTTTTAGTCATGATTAATGATCAATAGAAATAGGGATGGCTATGGGCTTGGACCCGGACCCGGACCCAAACTGAGCCCCGACGGAAGCGACCTGGGTCTGGGTATGGGCCCAAAATATGGACCCGGCTGGTCGGATCCGGGTCCAAGTCCAAATCCATGTAGACCCAACGCGAATAGTTATGATATTTAAATAATATTTGAATAAGGGATTGTATACAATGAGACCATTTACCTTTGGTACAAGGAGGTCACAAGTACTTGCAACCATCCGATGTCAAATCTAATGGCTTGGGTGTGTCTAAAAATTCGAGAAAATTTCTTTTGAACTTTGAGCTTGGTCAATGAAATAAATGTAGCCACCCAATTTCACATCCAATGGTCAATATTAATTACGACCACCTTGTACCAAAGGTAAATGGTCTCATTATATACTTTCCCTTTGAATAAATAAATATAACTCTATTTTTATAGTTATGATGGTTAAATAATGCATATAAATTTTACATATTTACAAAATATATTTAAATATATAGATATTTTGATTTTGGGGTTTAAATAATGCATATAAATTTTACATATTTACAAAATATATTTAAATATATAGATATTTTGATTTTTGGGTTGGGTCTAGTCTTTTCTGGATCTGGGTCCCATATTATATTTTCGGGGTCTGTAGACTCTGGACCCAGCAAGGTCTTGGTCAGTTCTGGGTCCCCGGACTGGACCTAGATCGGACCTGTTGCCACCCCTAAATTGAAGCACACCCTTGGGAGTTAAAAGGATATCCAAGTAATCTGATGATAAGAGAGAAACCTAGATAATATCTTTCTGAGACACTAGATGCTCTAGGATGTTCATGGATGTTTTCATCTGCTGGTCATTCGGCTGCATCACTACATGAACATCTTACAGAACCATTTACAATTATAACTCTCACTTTCTGTGTGTGTATGCATCTGCACACACATAAGCACATATGGCCATGCTTCCGAAGACCCCATCTGTATTATATCTTTGGGAAGCTTTCGAAGTCATGATCGGATTGCTTATTGAGTGTTTTCTGCAGTTGGTAGAAATTTACAGGGAGATGCTTTGGCTACCTTTTGTATGGAGCATCACATGTTCGTAGGTTGGATTTGAGATCTAATTTCTATTGTTCAGTCTTTTAAATGTGATGGATGCAACTACTGTTTATACAAAAGATCCCATGTTGGGATGGTTTCATGAGCACTCCTCTATTCATGTTTAGTGCAAGTCTACAAGATTCTCAAGAGCTTGTTGTAAAATCTCTTCTAACTGATGGCAGGGTTCACTGCAAGGAAAGCAGTGAAGAAAGTCCAGAGACAGAGTCCGTATATGCCCTAAAATGTCACATATCACAGGAGGTGAACCACTTGCATGAGGGCCTAAAACATGTAAGCTCTTTTACCATACTTTTATTTCAGGGATTCCATGTCGTTCATTTTTACCTGGAGGGACTAAACTCCAAATCTCCTAGAGGAACATTTGTGGTATGGTATTATAAACCATTGATTCTGTGGACTGCAGATATGAAATGGTCGTCATATTAAGTGTCTTGTTTCCAAAGTTACTTTTTTTTATGAACTACATTAAACTCTTAACTTTGCAGTCACATTTTGGTTTGTTGTTGCATCTGATGCTTATAGTTGTTTTTTTCTCTTCCCCCTCTTTTTTTCACGTGCATGTTTATCAATATGCAGTAGAAAGGTGCCTATTGTGCTGCAGAGGAAGCACCCTCTGGGTGTCTACGAGGGTGGAGAGTAGCCAGTTGGCTTCGATGTTCCTGCAACTAATTTTCCCTAAACCAAAGGTTTATTGGGCAGATAAATACCACTGGTTTAGGGAAAAAACATCATCTCTTCCCATTTAAATGGAGAAAATGCTTTACTACAAACTAGTTATAGGCCTGAACGCTTAAAACTAATTCTGTTCCTAATATCAACTTTCCAAATGGAAAAAAATGATACTTAAAATTTGCGATTACCAGAATTGAAAAATTGTAGCATGTATTTAAATCAATTCAACCTCATATTAACAGCAATGCATATTCCAATGATATGGCACAAAAAGGTTTGTTTTTTTTTGAGAATGTTAATGGTTAATATTATAACCGAGGGAGTATGATATTCCAATGATATGACACAGAAAGGGTTATGAGTGAAATCAGAACATGACGGCTCCACCCCTCATCTCCCTCCCCACCTCTTTTGGTCCCAACCTCGCTAACCTTTACAAATCCTCTCTAGTCGGAGTCTTCCACCCCCAGCACCATAACCATAAAGGAGTAGATAGATGGGCTAAGGATCTTTGGAAGGAACCTCAGCTCAAGCGTAGGCCCTTAGCAGATGGGTCTTACTTGTTCTCCTTTCCATCTGTTGCAACGGCGGTCTCCATCCTTCATGGTCCCTCCGTGAGCACCTTCAAGGGAGCTTCCCTTCACCTCGCTCAATGGACTGAAGATTTGGGAGCCTTACCTCGGCAAAAAACTTGGATCACGGCCTCTGGTATTCCCCTACACTCCTGGTGCCTAGACACCTTCAAAGCCATCGGTAACACTTGTGGCTCATTTGTAGCGGTTCATTGGAAGTCGATGGAGAACCTCCCGCTCAGGTCTCTTCTCCTCATAGTAGACATCCTTGACCCCCAGTTCATCCCACCTTTCCTCTAGCTGGAAATGGCTAGAAATTATTTTCGGATTCTCATTTCTTGGTCGACGGCTTCTCCCGCCTCCACACGCTTCATTTCTCCGATGAAGCAGTCGCTTAGGGTCACTTCTCTCGGAGAGATTCCAACCCAGCCAGAGGAGGCGGAACACTCCTTATCGCCCCACCATGCTTCCAAAATGTCTGTTAACACCCTACTTTCCAGGATTCTTGATGGCCTACCCTGAAAATTCACCGCGGTCTATGGTCCCAACTCAGACAATGACCGTCTTCTTTTGTGGGAAGAACTCAACCATGTTGTGACCCTATCCAGTCCCATTTGGTGCATAGGGGGGGCTTTTAACGTTACGAGGTGGTCCCACAGAGAAACACCTCAACTAGAATCACCCCGGCTATGTTAGCTTTCTTTGACTTCATTGCCCTCAACAATTTGGTTGACCTCCCTAGTCAAGGAGCCCAATTCACCTGGTCTAGCCACTCTTCCAACCCCACCCTCTCAAAGCTCAACCGATTCCTAATCTCAATCGACTGGGACTCAAATTTACCTGGGACCCACTCTTTGGCACTTCCCAAACCTACCTCCGACCACTGTCCTATGCTTCTAGACTCCAAGCCGGTAGAGTTTGGACTCAAACCCTTCAGGTTTGAATTGGCTTGGTTAGAAGAATAGTCGCTCTTCAACCTACTTCTTGAATGGTGGTCCACTCTGTCGAATTTGGTAGATGGTTGGGCTGGCTTCAAACTACAACGAAAGCTACAACTTTTGAAGCCTCACTTAAAATCCTGGAGTAGGAGATTACCGGTGGTTTTAGGACCTTAGAAATCTGCCTCTCTGCAAGCCCTCCAAACTCTTGACTCGCTAGAAGAATCCAAACCCCTCTTGGCCCAGGGATCCACTCTCAGAGATGATCTGAAGCTCCAATATCAAGTCATCTTAAAAAAAGAGGAAATTTTTTGGTATTAGAGATCCAGAATCAAGTGGCTTAAGGCTGAGGAGCTCAACGCTGGATTCTTCCATAAGTCAGCCAATTGGAGGCGCAAAAACAATTCAATCACACCCCTTGTGGTAGATGGCAACCTTTTGGACCAACCTCGTGAAATTGAGCAAGCCATCCTTGGCTTTTTCCAAAACCTCTTCTCTACCCCCCCAGTTCCTCGACCTCCTATGGGGGACATCGAGTTCCTAGTTCTACCACAAGACAAAGCAAATTGGCTAGAAAGACCTTTCTCTGAACCTGAAATCGTAGCTGCCATCTTCGACCCAGACTCTGTTAGGGCCCCTGGATCTGATGGCTACTCCATTGTTCCATTCAAAGTTTTTTGGGGATCTTTCAGAGAGTACTTCCTCAAACTGTTTGACGAATTCTACTTTGGGGGTATCATTAATAGGGCTATGAATGCCACCTTCTTCACTCTCATTCCCAAAGTAGAGGGGGCAACCCAATTGAAGGACTTCTGTCCTATTAACTTGGTGAACTCCACCTACAAAATTCTTGCCGGTCGCCTTAAAGAAGTCCTCCCCCTAGTCATTTCCACCACCCAAAGTGCTTTCATCAAGGATCGTCAAATCCTAGATGGGGCCTTAGTAGCCCATTAATGCATTCACTCAAGACAACTGGCCAAAGCCCTTGGAATTGTCGTGAAGCTGAACTGGGAGAAAGCCTACGATCACGTAGACTGGGATATCCTAAAAGTGTCTCAGTCCAGGATGGGATTCGGCTCCAGATGGAGAGGATGGATGAGAGCATGCGACTCTTATCCACATTTCTCTATCATCATTAATGGCTCACCAAAAGGATACTTCCCATCTACTAGAGGCCTTAGACAAGGGGATCCCCTCTCCCCCTTCCTTTTTGCCATCGCGGCTGAGTCTTTCAGCAGGTCCATTTCCAGAATGTATTCGGCTGAACAATTGCATAGCTTTTCGGTAGGTATTCAAGCCCCAACCGTATCCCACCTCCAGTACGCAGACGATACTTTGGTATTATGCATTGCTACCACAGAAGAGGTTAACAAGCTAATTTTGTTTCTCCGGTGCTTCGATTACGCTACTGGCATCAAAGTTAAGTTTGACAAAACCAAGATGATGGGGGTTAATATTGATTCAACAACCCTATCCACCTTTGCTGAAAGTTGGGGTTGCAAGGCCGAAGCTTTGCCATCCAAATACCTAGGTCTGCCCCTCTGTTTAGGCAAACCGAAATTGAGGTTGTGGTCTCCTATCATTGATAAAGTGGACCACAGCCTAGCAGGATGGAAGGGTCGCTTCCTTTCCCCGGGAGGGAGGCGAACTCTCATCAAGGCCACTTTGGCTAACATCCCGGTCTACCAAATGTCTCTATTTCGCATGCTGGTGGCAGTTAGCTCCCGGATCGAAAAGTTAATGAGAAGGTTTTTCTGGTCAGGTGACGGGGCCAGCAACAAATTCCACCTGCTTGCATGGGACAAACTCTGCCAATGGAGGCAAAGGGGAGGTTTAGGGATCAAAAACCTCAGAACCCAGAATTTAGCCCTCCTTGGTAAGTGGTGCTGGCGCATGACGAACCTGAGGAATCAACTATGGATAGATATTCTTAAGCACAAGTATCATCTTCCTAGCACACCGTGGTTACAAACTGCAGGACAAAGCAAAGATCCTCAGGCATTCTGTTCTGGCAAGACCTCTGGTTAGGCCACACCCCTTCCAGGGACAGGTTCCCTGACCTCTTCTCTCTGACCCAAAATCAAGGGGCCACAATAGCTGATGAAATGCTGTCAACTGGATCCTCTCACTCGTGGAACCCATCATTTAGAAGAGCTCTTAATGATTTGGAGTTTGGGGGCTTCACAACCTTAGCGGCAAATCTACACGCCTGCTTCCTCCCACCAGCTGGCTATGATCGCATGATCTGGCAACCGTACCCTCCGGCCTTTTCTTGGTCTCCTCTTTCTATCGCAGCCTCTCTCTGCCCCCCACTTTTCCTTTAGCATCTGTGGCCATAGCCGCTCAAGCATGGGACTCCTTCGGCCCCCCAAAAATTCAGATCTTCATGTGGTTGGCTCTCTCCCAGAGAGTCCTCACAGTAGATCAATTGCAGAGAAGGGGCATTTCGATACTCAATCGCTGTGTCTTGTGCCTCGCAGCTGAGGAAACAAACAATCACCTTTTGCTACACTGTCCCTTTGCCTTCAATCTGTAAGGGGCAATCCTCAAGCTCTTTAAAGTCCAGTGGGTTCTATCGCCTGAGGTACCTTTCATCTATTCGGCTATCAAACCCTTTCCCTGGCCAAAGGCAGGGGTATTGCTCTGGAAATCCACGGTGGCAGCTGCTCTTTGGGCACTTTGGATTGAGCGCAACAACAGAACTTTCCGGGGGGAGTACTCCCCTTGGAACAAAGTGTTCAATAAGCTCAAGACCACAATCATCTTCTGGGCAACCAACCATAGCAGCTTCAAAGGAATTCCAGCATCGGCGTTCACTCACAATTGGAGTAATGTCCTCCAAGTCAAAAGAGTGTGTCTGTCCAGAACTTTTCGGGGGGAGTACTCCCCTTGGAACAAAGTGTTCGATAAGCTCAAGACCACAATCATCTTCTGGGCAACCAACCATAGCAGCTTCAAAGGAATTCCAGCATCGGCTTTCACTCACAATTGGAGTAATGTCCTCCAAGTCAAAAGAGTGTGTCTGTCCAGATCCACGAAGTGGAAGCCCCCAATGCAGGAGAGCTCAAACTGAATTTCGATGGCTGTTCCATCGGAAACCCGGGCCCTTCAGGCGTAGGAGCCATTCTCAGAGATCACCTCGGTTCTACACTGGCCACCGTTTCCAAACATATAAGCCACACAAACTCTATGGAAGCCGAAGCCCTCGTGCTTTTGGATGGCCTAAAACTCATTCAAACCTTCCACTTAAACTCCGTAGTGGTGGAAGGTGAATCCAAAAACACCATCTCTTGGGCGCAGAGACTTTCTTGCTCATCCCCTCCTTGGTTCTTCGCGCAAGTGTTTGACAATATTCATCCCCTCCTTGGTTCCTCGTGCAGGAATATGTCCATCGTGTGGATGCATACTTGGAGAGAAGAAAACCAGGAAGCTGACACGCTGGCCAAAGAAGCAGCAACGGTGGCGGTCAACTGATTTTTAATTTTTGCTTTTCTTTTTTGTTCCTAGGACCGACCTATTTTATTAGGTTGCTACCCTTTTGTAACCTCCTAAAAAGGACGTGTTCTAGCCTCTTTATCTTATTTGCGCTTGAGCATCCTTTTCTGTGGATCACCAAGGTTTTTTGTACTCTTCTTTCCCCACTATCAATTCAAGGTTAACATTAAAAAAAAATGAAACTTTCCAAAAGCCCAATCTGAACCTTTGGTGCATGGAGTGGGAATGGTCAAACAAGAATTTATGAAAGGTTCAGTTAACGAGGAATATTATTCGAAATCGATATAAAAAATGCTTTTCATATTACTTCAAGTAATAGCAAATAAAGACTTATAAAAATCAAAATTTATCTTCATGTTTCTTCTCTGTCCCCTCTGGTTAGTCTTAGTTTGAGAATAAACATGTCCATCTTTAACGAGATTCATACAACTAAAATTACTGCACAAATATTAAATTTCTTTTTAACAATATCTCTTTTGCTCTTAATATATTTTCGCTTATTTTTTTGTTGTTGTAAAGACTATTTGTTGTGTGGAGTGGGCCTTAGTAGCCTCCACTCCTAAAAGAGGAATATGGGAACCATTGGCTTCTATGCATGGGGTTGTTTCCACCCCAGTCCCCATAATAAATATAGGGAGGAAGGTGGCAAGCTCCTTGATTTGAGTTTACGATATTGGTGCTTCATGTAAAAGCACGAGGGTTGTGTTCTCAAGAAGATGATTCAAGCCTTCTTCATTCCTTTAAACTTGACTTTATTTTACAATTAAATGGCGAGTAATTATATTTTCATCCTTCCCAAACTATATTACCATGCATTTATTCTTGAGTTTCACAGAAATCATGGTGTGTTGATTCATGTTGATTTAATATACATATATATATATATAGGGTCTCAAATCAGAACTAGAGAAGGTTTCTCCTGCTTTGGGTCGCAGTGCAGTTTATTTGAAGGAGTCATGTATCAATGATTTGCCTAGGCAAGTCTCTGACCATTATTCCTTTTTGTTATTCTAATTCTGTCTTTCCTTATGGTTTGCAAATGATGAATGTCCATTTTATCATTTTGCAGGTATTTGACAGTTCAATTTGTTCGATTCTTTTGGAAAAGGGAGTCAAATCAGAAGGCCAAGATATTACGGGTAATCTTAGGTTTTTCTTTTCTTTTTCCCCTTTGATGCAATATCAAGAAGTGTATTAATTATTCTATTGGAGATTTGTATTAGATTTTTATGCATTTTTGGAAAGCTTGGCTTATTTTGGCTGGTATGAGATGTTTCCATTCTATTGTTCAATGCACATGTTTCTATAGACTTTTATGATGGTCAAAATCTTTTTTTATTCGTGGCTTTGGTTGTCGATAGCAAGGCATCTATTTTTCTTTTCATTTATTTGTTTTTGTTATTTTCAGAAAGTGGACTATCCGTTGGAGCTTGATGTTTTTGACCTGTGTTCGGAATCCCTCAAGAGTAAACTTCAGACCCCTCGCCAGGTATGGTTATGAAAGCCTGAAATCTTATGAGAATGTATAGCTAAAACTAAAGCACTAGTAAAGGATTGATATCCTTATAATTAAGTTGGGACATCAATTGAGAAGGAAGTCTTTTGAATTCTCACACAAGTTATATGCTATAGTTGTTTGTGGTATTTGAGTTTCAGCAACCATGCCATATGCATAATTTGTTTTTTGAATGCTTTACTCTGTTTCTGGCTGTTTTTATTTTTTATGTTGCTGACTTTCTAAATTCTCTGTTCAAGATTCTAAGAGATGAAGAAGGTGCCAAGCTTGGATTAAAGAAAAATGAATCGAAGGATAAAGAAGCTCAAACACCTAAAACCGAGGTACCTTTTTTTTTAACAATCAAACACTTTCGGCTGCTAATGCTTTCCATTTCAACAACGTTTACTAGAAGATGGTGCTGCTTGATTTATGGATAAATATATGCTCCGAAGACACTCAATGAACAATAACTCTGCAACCATTTCTAATAGTCATGTGTCTTGATTTGGTTAATGGCACTTACTATATCTCATCAACCGATCTTTCTGATATTCATTGGCTGCAAAACCATTTGAAGATATACAAATGAGATATAGTGACCATAATGGGGATGAACTAGAAAACTTTGGCTTTGGCATTATGAATGTGAACTAAGCTGGAATCTACCCAGTAGGCATAGGGGCATCTGCTGTTGTTGAGCCTGAGCCTTTGAAACTATAGGTGCTGCTGTTTTTGTTAACCTGAGGACTTAGTGGATGATTCCCCTTACAGGGTTGGACATTTACGTTAATTGATCTAGTGAGGAGTCTTTGCCTTTATTTTTTGGTGAAATGGTAGAGTCGTTACTGCTTTTTAAGTTCTTGGAAACAGGAACATGGTAGGAGAAGCAAAGAAAGAAGGTGATCATTCAGTATGAATTGAATTTGCTAATATAACTCGCTTTATTGCCATTGTTTTATGGAAACATAATGTCATCCATATCTGTTTATTATCCAACTGATCCTAATACATTCAATTGGGCCCCCACTATCTAAAATTGATGTCCTCTCCTGTTGGGATACTTGGATGCTGCATTACTGAAAGCTCCTTGAAGCAAAGCATATAGAGGACATCCAAATCTGTGAATGACTTGAATTTTAAACACCATTTTAATTTGCTAGAAGACATCCAAAGCCCAAATAAAAAGATCCAATTTTAACTTGCTAGAAAACATCCAAAGACCAAATAAAAAGATCCAACTACCTCCTACTCAAATTAGTTGGTGTGAATTCCAACTAGAGAGCATTGTTAATGTTAGAGAGCATTAGTGCAAGCCCAAATTCTCTCTCTCTCTCTCTCTCTCTCTCTC